TAAAAATTTGGAAAAATGAAAAGAATAGAAGAGTTCATCTGGCGAGGAAGCCTAAGGTTTTGAAGAGTTTTGAATTTTGAAGACTTTGAAAATTACCGTGTTTCTGCACGTTTTTCATATTTTTTTAAAAATCATAGGCTGCCTGGCCATAGGAAAGAGACCTTTTAGACACAGAAAACTTTCACAATTTCTCAAATATCAAACTTTTTTAGAAATTGTGAACGTTTCCGTTCTTTTAAAATCTTGTAGATTTCTTAACGTGTTTAAAAAAATGCTGGAAATTGAGAAAAACTCTAAAACATTGAATAATTTCCGTCCTCACGAAACAAACCATTTCTCGAAATTTTGAAAAATCACAAAACTTAAAAGAATTCTTGCGTGTTTTTCCTTTGAAACCCCTCGGAAAAAATCTGGCAACACGTACGCCGGTTTTCCCCTGAAAAATCTCGCCTTTCCCTTGGAAACACAAGCGAGCTAATCCTCGTGATCTATAGTTTTCCCTTGAGTTTGTTTTTTTCCCTTGGGTTTCCGATTGGATCCTAAAATTTTTCCCCTGAAAACGGTTCAAGGGAGTTCCCTTGAAGATCTCCCAAATATCCCTTGAAATTCGGGGGAAGGGCTCGTAGTGTACTCAAGAAGGCATTATAGAAATTTGGGTGCTTGTGAAGCTAGCATAGGTATGTATTTCCAAAAGTTTTCTCGTATAATATTAGTGATGCAGATAATTCACGAGTGCTAGCACATGTAATCGTGAATTCATCCCATTCTTTTTTTTGGTCTTACTAGAAAGGAAACTCGGCTAGAGTCTGTGTCTGTACTGGCCGACGCTTTTGCTGCCGACAAAAAGGATTAATCTAATTGATGCAACTGTCTGTATTAGGAACCCAATATCCACTACACCCTGAGGTTTAATAGGGCATTCATTCTTCTTTGTGTTGAGATAGAGTGGTCATACTCTTGGCTTTTCTCTTGATGACCGTATCCGTATTACTAGCCGAATATTCACACTGCTACGTAATTTAATCGGTTTCAATAGGCAAGAAGACTACTAATTTGCTGGCTCATCGCTTTCATAGTTTTGTGCGTCCAAGATTTACATGTAGCTTGCGTACATATGCACTGCAATGCGTTATTGTTCGTAGTATAAGTAAATAGTAACGGACATCCATGGCCGTACTTCTTTAACAACTTAATTTTGTAGTGCCTGTCACAAAGATCATTTGCTATTTCAGTAACTCATGCGCCGATCGAGACCAATCGAACTCATGTATCATACGCATGTGGGGATTGCTTTGGATCACCGTCAACTCGACGTCCTATATTTGGGTTCCTGTCATCACACGGAGTCCCGTATCAATTTCAACACGTCCGGAACAGTATGTTAGATCACCTTCCATATGGAAACCCATTACTCAGTTCCACACAATAAGTTGTGCAAGGCAAGGCCCTCAACGCAGCATCGCGCAGCTGCGAGATTAGGGGCTCTTCGTTTCAGGGTTTAGTGGAGCTCGTAAATGTGCGCTTTCAACTGACATTCCGTTCTCACGGTGTCGAAAGATGGATGAAGTACACTTTGCTTTTCCAAAAGTTCTTCCTAGCTAGTAGCCGGAGCTTGATCAGAGATGACGTTACTCATTTAGGTTTGATGCGTGGGAGTTTTATCAAAACATGTTATACGACGCGTTGCACATTATTCTAGCTAATCGATGCTCTGTGCCCTCGAACGTAACGTTACCAACTCCAAAACTTTGAACGATGATCCATGCTGCAAATAGACCTTACACATGCGGGTGCTGGTCTCTAGCCTACCATTAAAAGTTGACCCCGCTGAAGACAAGACTACATAATCAAGTCCGCGTACACGTACGCTTCTGCGTCCACGTCCAATACTAGAAGGACAACATGGTTTGTTGTCACGGGGACATTGGAGCGACTGTCCCTTGTGCTCATGATGCAAGATCCGCAGCCGATCTTCACTTAGCGATAAAAGCAGAGCCTTCCGACTCGTCTGTTGCCATGCCAAGCAAGCTCGAGACGGTGAAGATGAAGTTAGAGGTTGCTGAGCTAGAGGCCCCCTGCGCGTAGCCTCGTTTTGTAACGCTGTCTTCACGATGTGCCTAAATCCGAATAACTCTAAACCACGCGGTCAGGCTGCGGCTGCAAAAAAGGTGGCGAGCTTGAAAGCCGAGGACGGATGCCGAGTTCAATTATGTATGTGTAAGCGCTACGTGTTTTGCGTGCGTTCGGAGATCATGTCTGCATGGAGGTTAATCGCTTCACCGAGAAGGAGAACAAGAAGCGCACGCGCAAAGGTGAAAGCAATGTTGCGACTCCTAGCGAACCCTGCGCTGACGAGGTAGTGCCCAAGCGTAGACACCATGGGATCGAAGGGAAATGTGTAGCTTGCCAGCAGCGCGATCGTGCCCGAATGGGATTCATCGCAAAGGCTAGCGCTTCTCAAGGCACGGGCGGTCCATGTTTTCCGGCTCCCCAGCAATACGTAGATGCCAGATGATGACCTCAAACTTCTCGTTTTACAGCTCATAGTCTATTTTTTTTGAAGTGGTCTAGGAATGCCTCGACCCGATCCTAAGCTAGTAGCCTTTCCGCATAATTTAGGTTATCCCCTGCCTGTTTTTCTAGAATCATGAAGATGGTACATTTGAAGTCTCAAGTATAGGGCTTACTTTCTACAAGGACGGTAGGTGTAGTTCTCCAATGAGTTGCGCACGTTATCGCTCATTACTTTCCGCGTACCCCAATCCGCGTTACGAGCACATCATAACAAAAATCTAGTCTGTCATAACGAAACAGACCACCATATGCTTCCACAATGGCGTACTGGTAATTCAGACCCTTTCGAAATAGGCATCAGTCTATGATGCGTTATCCTTGTATAGTTGCAAGCTATAGATGTTATCACATAATCCATAAAGTTTGCCGATCTCTTTTTCGAGCCGAGAAAACATAGGAAAGACAAAGATGAAGGAAGCTAATGAGCACCCAGCACTCCAAACAGTATGATATCAGCCATGATCAATCTTTATTATCAATATTTAGTTTCAGTACCTAATGCCATGCAAGGCTCGCGGTACCATTCAATTAGCCATGATTATGCAGTAAACTACTTACAAGCGCGCCTGTGCTTTTTTAGAAGGAGCACTAGTCGCAAGTCGTACAAAAAACAGATTCTGCCTCCTCACCTTGGATTATTCAGGCTTGGTTTGGGTGTCCCATATGTCTCACAAGCCTACATTCCCGCTATGAAAACCCCGAGTACCCGCGTCTTAATAGTAACTACCGCTTGTTTCGTTGGTATAACCCATGAAACTATAAGGAATCAGGGCCGCAAGGAGACTCTACCTGAACGGTCTTAATTTTGCTGGTTGGTGCAAGCAACATTGAGTCCGGCTTATCAAAGCCCAAACCCAGAACAGGGAAGTAATTTTACGGTCTTTATTGACACTTATCAGTTGGCAACTGTAGAATCCAAATAGCATATGAATTACAGTCAATAGTTCTCATCCAATTGATGGACATGTGACCCTTATTAGGGACTATATTAAAGAGTATACTACACTACAGGAGGGACTCCATCCTGTGTTCACCCTAAATGATCCCTTGGCAAGGCAAATATTGACAGTAGTTCATTTGAGTCACTCCAACTTCTCAACCCTAGACCCCCGAAGCCCGAAACCCGAAGCGCCCTATAAATGTCCAGCGCACTATCAGCCTGCGGACGATGCCTCTGGGTGAAGCCGAAGCTTTCAGATTAGGCGGGATTTCGCGTGTAGGGTTTTTAGCTTCAGGACACCTAATAAAGCTGAAGTCGTAAACGGGTCTAAGGTCTTGGAAAGTGGAGGTGACACCTTGTTTGCGCCTAAACCGCTAAAGTAGATACAAATTTACATGAAACCCACAAAAACAGCACCAAAAGACCATTCCTCAACGCACCTCTAAACCTTACTTGGAGGGTCAGGAGGACCTAGTAAGTATACTTCTAGCGCCTAGAACCCACATAATAATCCCAGTTATCTCCCTCATTTGCCTACTTACGAATCCCCGTGACCCTCGAAGTACAAGCCTTAAATCCCAATACTTTAGTGGTGCAGGCGCTGCCCTGTCCCAATACCTTCCACCAGAATCCTTCGTAAAATATTCTTATACTAGTCCATGTTATATTAAGATCTGGATCCCCAGCTTCATCTTCGAAGCCTTCATATATACTTTATAGTTTCAATGTTATGAAGTGGGAGCTTTAATTTGGAGTAGTACTTGTAGTCACCGGGTTGGGGCAACATCGCCCCAAAGGTCTCAGCCTAGATTTCCTGGCCAGGCTCGCCCTAAACCCTACATCCCGAACCAAAAATAAACCTAAACCTTTAACCGTAAACTCGTGCTAGGCCGCCTCAGCAATACGGTGATGGTTTTTAAGCATGTGGAGGAAGGACTAGACCTTTTTCGCAGAGGCGATATATCGGTACATGATCGCAAACAATGCCAAGGCAGGCATAAGCGGAGGGTCTCACGTAAGCAAAATATTCACATTACTCTAAATGTAATAGAACAGACACGAACTCGCGTGTGTTTCTAATATTTGCTGAGGTCTATGGTTTTGCGAACGCCTTCCACCCTGTTGTCGCAAACCAATTCTCTAGTCTCCTTCCGAGTCACGCCAAAGACTGGTGGCCCATGATCGAAGATGTTTTCAGTTTTCCGCAAGTCAGAGGATTGCGCGAACGCCTGCTGCAGGAATGCATTGCAAACGAGGAATTCCAATGCATCAGTATTGATGCTACAATGCGATGCTGTCTTCAAATTCTAGGCCAGGCGCGCATCAAAAGTTCAGCGGAGGCGCGCGCGCAGAGGCTGCCTCCACGGAGAGTATGTCATTGCGAAGAGTATCTTGGATGGTTGTACTTTAGCCTATACCGTATACCAGTCTATGTATTCACCTAAGCTTACGGATGCTAGGTATGCCTTGGCAGCTTCCAGCTTAGGTTTTCACCGTTCGCGGCCGCACCAGTGCAGTGCTTCTAATGAGAGCCGCCAGGTCAGAGGATGCTGAAACTGCATGTCAGTTACTAGCAGAGGACTTCCCCGCGTCCTTTCTGCAGCAGGTTGCTTTCGTGGCAGTCGACAATCCCTCACGCAAGCTTTACATGGAAGTCAAAAATACTTGTCCAGGCCTGCAAGGCATGTCGTTGGACACAGTGCACCTGGCCATGGCCTGGGAATACTCAACATCACGCAGGCGCAGCAAAGGATCAGCAGCTCTGCGTAAACTACTCAACAAGTTTGTAGTTGTGGATGCTAATTGCAGCGCAAGGTCGTTAGGAAAGTATTACGATGGTGGCAAATGCGTGCCATTGAGTGCAGAAGAGGAGCGCTATCGACGACTTCTGGAGGATAGAACTATGAGGGAAAGCGTGGCGCAGCGGCTGCTTGACGAGATAAAACTAGACTCGCCTGGAATGGATTCGGGCACTGGCGGCTCTTGCGAATGCAGGATGAAGTTGGAAGGATTTCGCCAGGGCCCAATCGTCGTGCATGGCAGCTGCTGCATTCTGCAACTGCTGCGGAAAGATCGGAATGGTACCTGAACAATGTCAGGATCCGTCGTTCCCTCGCTTCACATCGACTACGCCTGCTACCTACTGGCACGACATCGAACGAAGCACTTCGCTATGAAATTAATCGATGCTACAAGGAGACCCAAAAGCTACATCAGGCAAGCCTACAACTCAAGCTCGAGATCCTCCAGCTGGGCAAGCTTCTATCTCATAACAGAGCACTCTATCACCACACGACCAAGCACATGCAGCATGGGGAGGTGCTTGCAAGGGCATGTAGAGAATCCTCGTGGTCTCCAGATACGTTGAGCGCATGGTGCTCTGAGTTACTTGATGGCCCAGGACCTACTGAAAGCAGATCTTCCGAAGGCAGATGAAAGGTCCCGGCAGAAGGCTGCAGTCCGCGGAAATGTGAAAAGGAAACCGGCGGCCGCAGTCCGAGAGAAAACAAGGCGCGCGGTCTTCACTCTCGAGCGACAAGATTCTCTGGTACGAGGCGGCAAGAAAAACTGCCGAGGATGATCTACATGGATCACTGTAGAACTGAACATTTAGATTACGGAGATCCAAATTCATTATGCTACACCTCTCCTCGCAGGCAAAAAAAAGATTTGCAAGTCCTGAGCAAGTGGAAATTGACTAAATCAACGACCGCCGCAATCGTCATGTTACACTTGGCAGGTAAATCACGGGCTTGTGACAGGCTGCTGTGATTGATAAAGTCTGACAGCCACGAGACATGTAAGCGTGCGCCACTTTACGTAACCTGCTTGGAGACCGAATTGACGTGGGACCATGTGTCATAGCTCTGCGCGTGCGCAGAGCTTGCGTGCAGGCCGTGGAGAGTCGCCAGCTTCGCTGCGCCACGGCTTCTATTACGGCTAAGGTTCCGGCGGCACGGTCATAACCAGTCCTGCCGTGCTCTGGACTAGCCTAGCTTGCTGTGAGAGAAATACGAATTTCAAAACGTACTGTAGCATCTTGAACGACTGCAGCTCTGATAATCTCATGTGCAGGACGTAATAATCTGAGAAGAGGTCCGGTAGAGTGGAGCCAACCTCAGGTTAGTGAAGCCAGACGCCGGAAGGAAAGCAGAGAGTGCTTGCAACGCATCAGGATTGCTGCGTATGCTGTAGACATATGCATGTGATTCAGGCCTTCATCTCTCGAGCCAGAAGTTTCATGCGTCGAAAAGAAATATGTTCAAGTTACATGAATCCTTCTGGTCTTGGAGCAAGAATGCTGCTATGGCGAAGTTTAGCTTGATTTCGGTTCGAACTTGATGAGTCCCGTATGTCCGACCTCGTTCGCTTACTAGCAAAAGCACACAGCATATGTTGTAAAGTTCAAGGGTTTATGTTCTGTCCTGACAGACGTGCTTGGACGCAACGTGTTTGCGGGACCGAACCACAGTTGTACAAGAGGAATGGCAGGTGCCTGCAAGATGAATTTCGAGTTTTCGCGAAAAAGACCGTGGTTGTAACACAAGGCCTGATTGAACTAGTGTGTGCTCGGACAGAAGAGTCGACTGCTCGACAAAAACTGATGTGCGTTAGAGGTATGTTCCACTTACGCACGTTCACGAGTGGCTAGTGGCAGAGATTTATCACAAGTGAGGTGGTTCCATTCATCGCATGTTCACGACTGTCACGTTTCACTCGAGCTCCGTTATCACGCGGCTACTTGCAGAGGATTTATAATATGCGAGGCGATGTGCTTTGAAGCATCGGTTTGATTGAATCCATGTTCACATAGCCAAAGCCTTACTCAAATTATACATATTGGTCCTTGGCACATAGGGTACCTAGGCTCATGCAGGATTTTTCGTTTCCGCCGTGCGATGCCAAGCCTCCTACCCTAAGCTCTAAACCCTAAACCCTAAACTTGAAACCTCAAACCCACACCCTAAATTGTAAACCCTAAGCTTTCGAGCCTAAACCCTTACACCGACCTTCTGAGAACCCTGAGTGCCTTGTATAATCCCATTGGAAGGAGTACTTCTTTTGATTTTGATGTCTGCACTGTGGGGGTTTCCCCGAGGAATCCCCTTCGAAGGGTCTAAGGGTAGCTCTAGGGTCTCAGGTGGGGGACTTATGGCGTTTCAGGGTTTAGGGTCTTGGATGGCTCAGGGCTTAGAGTCCCTAAGCCCTAAGCCGTAGAGGGTGTAGTAGATGGACATAAGCAAGTCCTCAATGTGGTCGATGTACGCGATTTAGGGTCTAGGCATTTTTGTGCTCTTGGCTTCCCAAGGACCCAGCTTAGGGTCTGGATTCAGCCTCCCTCGAGCTCACATGGGAACCCATGAAGCCCACTTGAAACGCAGGGAATTTTGTGTAGAAGCCATTCGTTAATTTGAGTGAGGATGAAACCCTTAATTACAACCCAAACCCCGAACCCTGAACTCAAAATCCGAAATCCCGAGCCCCTAACTTTGAACCCCAAATCTCAAACCCAACACCCTGAACCCTAAACCTAGAAGGCCATAACCCCGAATCCATCTCAGCCGTGTCCTCGAAGGCCCACAATCATACTTTTTATAATAACCCTAAACCCTAAGCAGGTTTAGGGTTTAGGGTTAAGGGTTTTGACCCACAACTTTTGGACATATTTCAGTAGGGATCAGATCGAGCTTTCAAAACCACTCCAGTGAACCTGGAGCCAAATTTGATATAGTTTTCTTCCTACACCTTTAAACCCTTCCTTTGTACCCTTAGGGTTTCTACCCTCGGGTTTGGGTCCCTAAACCATGGAACATAGCGCTTAATAAGGGAATTTGGGTCCCCAATCCTAGGCTTACAAACATTGAGGATACAAACATAATGTCTTTGACAAGTGTGTTCTGGTAAGCACCCGATGCCCTAAACCCTGAACCCATTATGGCTATGGGGTCCTCATTGTGAGGTTGGAGTTTAAAAAATCTCCCATTATCAGTGGTCTGTTTGTGAACTTTCGTAGGTTTTTTTAACCGGAAACCCTGAGCCTTTTTCATGTACATGGGGACTTCCCTTCGCTCAGTATGATTTGGGTCCCTATAGCGGGATTCCTATCACAAGACGGGTCCCAGTTAACACTTGTATTTTGGGAACAGGATTTTGGGCCAAGTCCCATGTATGTAGGGATATTACCCCATTTAGGGTTTAGATAGGAACTATGTTCTTAGAAGTACCATCTGGCGCTCCTTCCCTGAGGACGGTACGCTTTGTAACGGCCCTCTGCGCGACTGGGTTTAGGGTTCAGGGTTCAGGGCACTAGGTGCAGTACAAACCCTAAACCCAATGCTAGTTTCCTGAACTCCTTGGCACTTAGCTTGGACCTTAGACCTTTAACTCTTTCGGATTCCCTTCTGGTCCTATTGCAGGGACCTACAAGTTAAGTTTGCGTAATTAGGGGTCCTAAGCCAAACGTGGTGAACTGAACCCACTTTCCACAAGAACGTCCTCAGAGTAAGGGTTTGAAATTTTGGGGCAAAGGGGTTGACGAGTTTTTTTTCAATTTTGACCCAGAATGGTATACCCTGTGCATCCCTGTTTAGTCCTAAACCCTAAACCCTAAATCCAAAACCCGGACCTCCCCCTTAAAAGGTTTAGTGCCCTCTATGCAGAGGCAATCCTCCCCCCACAGGGCGGACCCTCGAGATCTTCATGCACAGTTTCGGGTCTATGGTTAGGTTTACCTAAGCCCTAAACCCCGGGGCGAGATTCTTCCCTTAACAGCATGAGCCCTGCATGACCTAGAGCATCCTCTTTGAAAATGGCCTTAAAGGTTCCCCCAGCCCCGAGCTATGTAGGGGCTTCCTCAAATCAGGGGTGCCATTTTGGGAGTCTCTAGAGGAGGGATGATATGATATTTTTGGACGTCTATATTGGGGTCCCCTTATTTAAGGAAACTACCATATAGAAGCCCTAAACCCTAAACCCTCTACTTCCAGACACCTAGAAGTTGCCAACTATGATGGGACCTTCCCGTAAATCCAACTTGAAGGTTCATGTGACTTGCCCTAAGCCCTGAACCCTAAACCCTAAGCTCTAGGGTGGAGTAAGCTATACAAGGCCAGCTTAGGGGACTGTAAGTAGCTTTGTATGTCCACACATAAGCGGTTACTGAGTCACGTTCGTATCCTTAGCCATATACCCTACATCCTGATCCCTAAACCGTATGGGTCAGTTCACATACAACCTTCACATCCCTACAGCCGGTATTTCAACGTATTCCCCGAGTCCCATGACGCTCCCATGAAGGGGACCTTAACTTTCCGCATTGGGCTTGAGTATAGGCCTGTAGCCTGTCAGTTGAGTCAAGGGTCTAGTTAGGGTTTAGGCTTGAGATTGTGCATATACTGGGTAGGGAGAAGGACTCCAAGAATTCAGGGGCCTTCGAAAACCTCATCGCCGCGTACACCTGAAGGTTTTAACTTCTCATCCCTAACCCTCCGCCCAAGCCCTAAACCCCAAAGTGAAACCCTAAAACCCTGAAGTTTACAATCCCTGACCTGTAAGCTCTTAAACTCTGCTAGAGCCCCTATCTCCCTAAACTCTAGAATCCCTAGTTAACCAGAATCCCTGGTTAACCGCCATAAGCACCCTGAACCCCTAAATTGTACAAGTCCCCGGCCAAGGCAAGAAGCTACGTCTTGCTCAGGATGACTTCCGGGAGCTCTCTTCGATCCAGCGAAAGAAAGGCGAGAAGTTCTGGAGTGCACTTGGAGGTTCAGGGCAAGTATAGCCCACGTGTACTTCGTACTTACAAGTCAGGTAAAACCACATGATGGGGCGTCTAATTGGGTTGAAACTGGAACTGTAATTACTTGGGGCATACTTAATCTGATCCTTCGGTATTTTGGATCTGAAGCGGTTTGAGAGTACTGTAGGCGCCGAAAACCATGATTATAACATGCATTTAGGAACGTACAGTTTGGTCGATCCTAAGCCTTGCCTTGCACTGTACACCTTATGTGGGCACCTACATAAGGCGTCAGCTTTCTCTCACTGAGCCCTTAGTCTTTTCACGGGAAGAGAGCCTTCAGGCCCGAC